TCATTCCACCTTCAAACTTATCTGCTATTGTGATATGCAAACCAACGCTAGGCTAGGTTCATGAACTCCCAGGAGAAATTCCTATTAAGAATGATTTCATACAACCCCATCAACCTGTGTCGAGGGCACAACCGTAGAAAAACCACGATTGGGTTGATGAAGGGTGACAGAAGAAGTCGGTCGTTGTTGTTCCGAGAGCACCGGGCGGGGAACAGGAGGAGAGGCAGTGGTAACCGGAGCAATTCGAATGTCAAAAGCCATCCGAAACTCCTCGTCACAGAAGAGACAAGTTACGTATCTATGGAGAGAAAATAAGTTCAAACGCCAAATAGACTCCAAAGATGTTGGATATCAGTGAAATCGCCAAATACATTTGACCTTTTTGCGCCGGTAAGCATTCTTTACATTACCGTATAAGTTATCGGACTTTGGGCGTGAAAAGCCTCATTCGTTTGCAAACTATAAATTTCCTTAATTGTTTAAATGATTGCTATTTACACAACTTTTCCACAGAAACATCTAAATTATAGCCTATCAATCTGGGCGCATTTTGACGTTATGTAGTCAAATTAGGCAATGCATGAAAAAAACTTGAAAGAAGCAATAGTTTCCCACAAATGAACCTACTCCATTTCGGGATCCTCCTGCACATATCCACATGGTAACACAGTGCCAAGTCGAAATTTAAGACCCACAAGCCTGCCACCACCCAAGCAACTGCCACCATCGACTGACATGCAGGGCACCGTGGGGGTACGTCCCGTCACTCCTTGACTTACTGGCATGACAACGCGAGCAGCAATTACCCCATCAGGCAGCCAAATAGAGAACTTGCAATCAGGAAACCCAGTACATGAAACAAACCACCGCGACCTGAAGAAATGACGCTACGTAGTAGGATTCAACAGTTACAGCATTTAATCAATCCAGTCTTGGTGTAACCAACCGGTTCGATGAGGGCCGAGTACTAACTCCAAAGTTGTTTAGATCCTGTGGGCTCTTTCGACGAATTACGACATCCTTCCCACAGGAGGGACAGGAACAGAGCTTCTGGTAAGCCCCCATGCTCCTGGTTTCAGTAGGGACATTTGCGGAGTCTAAGAATTGGAGTGTGAATTTTTCCTTCTATCGAAATATACCTGGAATATTC